ACTTGTGCTGGGTAATAAACTCTCAAATTGATTTTTGTACATAATTAACTCTGAAAAGACTTCCAACTCCTGCAGTCTCAATTTACCAAAAATAAAACTGCCTTGACTTTGGAAAGGAAAGCAGCATACAAAACACCGCTGCACCCTCAGCTCATTCTCCCGGCCTCCCATGGGTTCCCAACCCTACGACCCCATGGAAGTAGGATTGCTGTTTTGGGGAGAAGGCGTCTTTGCTGTGCAGACAGGAGTGAGTGGAGCCCACCCATAAAAAAGATTTGTAAGAAATATAAGAGCCAATGGGCTGGCTTTTCACTACTGACAGTCTGTCATATGGCCCGGGAGGACACAGCATGGTCTGCTTAAAGTGGGCAGGGTGAAACGAGGCCTTTTGTGATCTCTTGGTGGAGAGCCATCCATGGCTAATCAATATTTTTTTAACCTTTTTGTGGAGAATTAGGTGTGGGTAGAGCTAATCAATTTTATCACTACTTTTATCCGCCAGACTATGCATTGTAAAATGGACAAGGACCAGGAAAAGATTTTACGAGACCAACATTTTACCATCGGCTGCCCAGAACTCCCTGCAATCAGATCAACGAGGCATTGTTCGCAGAGGCCTGGAAGCTCCCAGAATGGGCTCCTATTAAAGAGAACCTCTGTTTATAAAGGATTGTACCTGCGTGTACATTGGAGTCATAATTGGGAAGACAAAAAAACCTTCCTTAGGAAAACTCCTTAAATATAAACCTACCAATGCAAAACTTTGTGTGGGGGGGGGCCCCAGGGAGGGAGAGAAGAGGGGGATGGGGCGGAGGTAGAGATTTAAATTATCAGAAGAGATCGTTACACCTGAGTGAGATGACTGTGACCTGGTTTGAAAAGCTTATGGCTGAAGTTGTGCTTTCACCGAAGGCATGATTGGGCTTTGTTTGACTTGGCACTTCCCTTCTTCCTACGAAATTGGATATTGCTTCAAGGACACAGGCATAGGAATTTACAAGGTTACCATGGTCATAAGGAAGGCCAAGGTCACTGTATTAAACTGGTTTCTGCTGTTGGATGTTGCATTGTTTTTCTTCTACAACTTTGTGTTCCCAAGAATTATGAGAAGCACACTGTAGAAGAGATGCAGGTGCTCACAGTCTAATCCATAAATGCAAACAGGAAACACCCTAGTGTCTCCAATAAAGTGGGTGAGAAAATATTTACATCCTTCCAGTAGGATATTCAGGTTGCTTTTTGCTAATGAGCTACACCTAGGGTAGAGCAAATATTTTGATTGCCCACTTAGAGCACGATTTAAAGCAAACCTTCCTAAGGCGTTTGCTAACAGAGCAAAATGGCCAATCAGACATAAAACTGGGATGCTCTTTAGAAGCGAGGATGGCCAAACTTCATCAGAAAGAAGAATCACTAAGGAAAAGGACAGCATGCTTGAAAAAGTTATCATCATCAAAAAGAAGGGACCCCAAGATCAAAAACAAGAGACGGATGGATGCAAGAGCCAAGACAAGCTCCAACACAAGCAATCCCAGCACAGGGCGGAGCAGTTTTCTTTGTTAGGCATAAGGTGGCCACGAGTCAGAGCCGTCTCAGTGTGAAAGAACAGAAGGAACATCAATGTCAAATTTATGGAGGTTGAAATAGGTACATGACTTTTAAAGGGGAGCCCTGGTGATGTAGTGGGCTGCTAACCGCAGTGTCAGCAGTTCAAAACCACCAGCCACCCCCAGGACCAGTGGAGAGAGTGGCGATGGTGGGAGGGTGGAGGAAAGGTGAGGGATAAAGGGGGAACAGAGGACAAAGTCTACATGTGGCCTCCTCCCTGGGGGACGGACAGCGGAGAAGTGGGTGAGGGAGACGTGGGATGGGGTAAGATATGATAAAATAATAATAAATTATAAATTATCGGGGGTTCGGGGGGATGGGGGAGTGGGGAGGGAGGGGGGAAAATGAGCTGACACCAGGGGCTCAAGTGGAAAGTGGGTGTCGTAAGAATGATGAAGTCAACATACGTACTAAAGTGCTGGACACAGATGACGTATGTACAGATTGTGATGAGTTGTATGAGCCCCTAATGAAATGATTGAGAAAAAAAAAACCCACCAGCCACTCATGGGATAGGGATGAAGCTTCCTACTCCTGTAGGGGTTAGCATCTCAGAAACCCACCTGGGAAGTTCTGCTCTTGTTCTATAGGGTCGCTATGAGTTGGGATTGACCGAATGGCAGTGAGTTTGGTTTTGCTATGTATATTGTATAGCATTATGCTATGTATAAATGATTATTACATATAATATGTATTCCACAATATAAAATTGCATATGTGATTTATAGAAAGAGCAAAGGATAAAGTCAAAAGACTCATCGAGGTCAACCTGGCACAGGTATACATTTCTTTGCACTTTTCTTTCAACTTTTCCAAATATCCAAAGAATGAATTGGAGGGGGGAAATATGTTTAAATAAAGTTGTTTTTTAATAAAACCAAAACTCTACTGCCATCGAGTTGATTCTAACTCATAGAAGGTTTCTGAAACTGCAAATCTCTCTGGGAACAGACAGCCTCATTTTTCTCTTGTAGAGCAGCTGGTGGGTTTGAACCACTGACCCTGCAATTAGCAGCCTTATGACTAACCTACAGCCCCAGAAAATCTCCTTTTTTAATAACAAGGGGAGAGGGATTAACCTTCCCTCACAAGGTTACCCTACAGAGGAGTCTTGTTCAAGTCTCCCAAGAGTTCTCTCCCAAGTAAAATGGCCAACTCAGTCTGGATTTGGACGGTTCACCCAACTCAGTACAAGGAAGCAAACTTACATATTTTAAAATCATCATCAACTAAATTTCTAATTATAAACATGTTGCTGTTACTACTAGGTGCCCACAAGTCAAGCAACCCTGCACGACAGAGCAAAACTGCCCCAGAGAGTTCTCTTGACTGTGACCTCTATGGAGGCAGATGACGAGGGTTTTACCCACAGAACTGCTTAGTGTGACCTGCCAACCTTGAAGTGAGCAGCCACACAGTTAACCCCTGTAACACCAGGGCCCCTTGACTATAAGTACGATGACACCTGCTGTCATCAGTTGATTCCAACTCATGTCAACCCTACACTTACTGACATGGAACCAGTCCTCACGGCAAACCTATACGACAGGGTTGAACTGCCCCTGTGGGTTCCTGAGACCGGAAAGCTTTTCCTAGAAAAGACAGGCATGTCTTGCTCCCACAGTGCAGTTGGTGGGTTCAAACAGCTGACTTTTTGGTTAGCAGCCCCACAGAAAACCACTATGCCACCAGGGCTCCTTTGGCAGCCTTGTAGAATAGCTTAGAACTGACCCGGTGGGTTTCTGAGACTCCATCTTGATAGGAGTAAAAAGCTTCTCAAAAAGTGGCTGCTGGTTTCGAACTGCTGACTCTTCAGTTAGCAGTCCAATGAGTAACCACTATGCCACCAGGGCTCCACGTTTATAAAAGAAGCATATGCTTATTATAGAACACTAGAGAATGTACAAACAAATGATAAAAAACGAATCCCCAAATCCCACTAATTGAAAAGCACTATTGTCATTTTGGCCTATTTCATTTCAATCTTTGTTGTAAACGTTCAAAGAGTTTGAGTATTGATATGATGTCTGCAGCCTGTTTGTTTTACTTTAACCCATATCATGGGGGGTGGGGAGCATTTTCATCAAATCTTCAGTGGCCACACATTATCCCATAAAATGGATATGCCATCAACTGACTGTCAATTCCTTACAGCTGGTGCTCGGTTTTGTTTCCAATATTAAATTACCATACATAATGCTAGGTTAAGAATGAAAGATCTTTGTGTGTTTTTTTCCCCTCCAGTGCAAGAATTTCTGGTTTATTCGCAGAAGTAGAATTGTTAACTTTCAGGGGAAAGGAAGGTGTCTGAACTAGGATGATGAGAACTTGAAACTGTACTCTTATTTAGACATGAAAGAGAAAGGGAAGTTGCTACCGGTCTGAGAATTCCAGTCTTCTAATCAAATTTAGCTGCTGGGGCAAGTTGCGTCAGCTGTTTTTATGCCCTCTAAAGAGGAAAGACCGACGTAATGGAACCAGTATCACCACACATGACTATTAGGTAAAAGATGCAGGGCCCTGTCTCCCCAAGTCATCAGCTTACTGAGCATGGGATAGCTATCATCCCAAAGACTCTCTTACCCACCTGGTAGAAATGGAATCCTAAAAATTTACATGGAACAATTTTTTTAAGCAATAAAAGAATTTCTTCATTTACATATAAACTTACACTTTTTTCAAGTGACAGAAACCTAAAGCGAGGCTCAGATTCAAAGGACAGACTTCAGTTCCCCCACCTCCACGTCTCTCTGTTCTTAGTGGTCTGTTGCTATTGTGTAGTCTTGAATCAATCCTATAGGAGTAGAACTGCCTCCAATGGGTTTTCTACGCTGAAGTCTTTACGGCAGGAGATTGCCTACGTTTTTTCTCACATGGAGTGGCTGAGGGCTTTGAACTACCGGCCTTTTGGTTAGCAGCCAAGTACTTAACGATTGCACCAGTCCACTTCGGCTCCTACTTAGTTCTAGGAGTGTAGGGGGTGGGGTGGGGGTTATAAGGGCTCCAATAGTCAGGACACCAAGAATCTAGTCCCATCTGACCTGAGCAAACAATGGGGCCGTAACAACACAGCCAAAGCACTCAGATTCAGTTCCTTGTTGGGTAAACGTCAAGGTTGCACCAAGTCCCTGGGGTCACTCTCCCGGCTCTGACTGCAACACCCTCGTGTTTTCAAGGTGCCAAGGGAAAAGGGAGGAGGTGGAGTTAACTGTCTCTGAACACTTTAAGCGAATGCTGACCACCTGGTTTTCCATAACGCAAGTAGATCAAATAGCGCTTGGTCTACAAAAGAGAGAGCAGAAACTGCGCATGCCCCATTCCTCCAACCAACTGATACGAGAAAAGCCAAGCCCAGGGCATCTGGAAGCAAGGAGAAAAGACAGAGGGCTCACCGTGGCCATTGCAGTAGTAGACCCACTTCTCCCGGTTCGGGGTCGGGGTCATGGATTTCTTCAGCCCGGCCTTGTCCACGATGGTGCTGGGATCTTGCCGGGGCCCTTTCTTCAGCGTCCGGGAGCTTTTCCGGATACTGCACACCACGATCACCACCAGTACCAGCAGCAAGAAGAGCACGATCATCCAAGGCAAATGCTCGTTGATGTCAAAATGCTTGTGGAGGTTCTGTCGGGGATGACCCCTCTTCGGGGCCTTGATGGGTGTGCTGGACTTCTCGCCCCCGGTGGCCTCCATGGAGGAAGGCAGCAACTTCAGGATGTGTCTGTGGTGGGGGCCTTGCTGGTGCTTAATGACCTGGAGGTTTGGGAGGGTCTTGTTGGCCCCTTCCTCCCTCCTGGAGGAGCTTGTGTTGTCAAAGAGGGTCCCTTCCTGGATGCCACTCGGTACCTTTGGTCTAACAGAGGCAGAAGCGTTGGAGTCTGTTGAGTTCGTGCCTACAAAAAAAGAGTAGGGAGGGGGGAGAGCTTTTCCATATTTGGGGGATCTATATAGTCCCTCCGCTCCCGACTCATCTCCACGTCAGACCCGATGATCAAAACGGAGATGACCTTTGGAGTTTAGGAATTCAGTTCTTTTGCACATTTGCCATAAAGGGCCTAAGGGCAACTTCATGTGGAGGGTCAAAACGAACGACTACACGTCCTGCCTTCGGGCCTTGAAGATGCCACGGACATCTTCAAGGGTCCTACATCGGCCCTTCGTGGGAGCTTCTCCTTCTGCCCCACCTTTTGACTAACTCATAATGGGGTGGGGGTAGGGGGGGTGGACAGGGACTGACCAAAAGAATGAAAAGAGCTCAAATTCAAGGTGTGGTGGGGCAAGAGAAGGTTTAAACTAGGACAGAACTTTCTCAGCATCTGCCCCTTCGTGGACTTCCGGCAGAGCAGCTTCCACGAGTAACCTTTGTTAAGGAATGTACACACTAGGGATTTTGGGTCCCAAAGGCAGGACCCGGCCTGAACTGTATCAAGCCGTGCAATCACCTGGGCACACGCCATTGGAGCCCTCTGAATGCAGTTCTTCATTTCAGAAAGAGAGGTTGGGAGAAGCCTCTCCTCACAGGACTATCAGGACAATCAGTGTAACCACGCATGAGAATGCCTTAGGAAGTATGGCTCAAGTTGGTTACCATCTCGTGGCAATTGAGATCAATCAGAAAGAATTAGAAAATAAAAGGTAAACTTCTCTATTCTGACTCAGCTTCGAAATGCATTATGAGAAAAACTGGATGCTTGAAAATGATCTAGAGAGTCAAAATCTTTGGAGGAGGGGGAAGTCAAGTGATGATTTTTCTAAATGAGAACGCTAGTTACCTTCCAACTGGAAGCATGTCCTTGTTTCTGGAAGCTTCTAACTTGTCTTCCCACTCCCTGCTCCACCTTTGATCTAACACTCATCCCTCGCTTCCTGATTTAATAACATTTTCTCCCTTTCTCCCTCTTCCTTATCTTCTGGCTTTGTGCACTCGGGACTGACTCCATTTCTGTGCCATTAGACATCCACTTCACCCAGCGTGAAGCATGAGCCTGAAGAGACTAAGTGCCTCACACAAGGTCACACATTCTCCTGTTCCTCTCAGTTAGTACTTTCTCGCCTCACGGGGTCCCCGCTTTTAGCTATTTGATCTCCTTTAACAGAAGTCCTCTGGAATAAAATCGAATACGTCTAAAGAAGCCAGATTTAATTAGTCACAAACGGAGACCCCTTCTTCCGAACGTGACTTTAGAGTATGTAAAATGAAGAAGACTCCTGGGTCTCTAAGCCCTACCGAGTTTAAAGCGTTCCTCAAACAAATCACTCATGAGGGTAAGTTACCTTTGGGAACATAAGTGGAGGAAGGGACTTCCTGGGATTCCATGTGCTCAGGGCGTGAAAAGATGGCCGCGCCAGGGGGAGGCGGGGTCGTGCTCAAGAAGGACCGGGATGGGCCACAGACATTGTCTGCCTCCTTGGTCCCCGGCTTGATCACCACCAGGTTCTGACTCAGACAGTCTGCGTATGCTTTGCATTTCAACACACTAGAAGGCACATCAGAGAAGGTACCCCGAGGGCACTGCTTACACCGCACATCCTCCAACTCTGTCCCTTTCTTTCGCACACCCCAACCCACAGGGCACACCGTGTGGGGGGCGCAGGTAGCGTTAGACTGGAACATGCCGGGTGGGCAAGTGCATTCTCGGTCAGTCAAGGCAGCACAAGGTAATTTTTCAACCATGGGCCATGGGCATGGCTGGCTACAATCATGGCATTTCTCAATACCATTCTCATGCCTGGTGAAGGTGCCCCTGGGGCAGCTGCTGCAGACACGCAGGCTTGTGTTGGTACAGTGCTCAGACACATAGGTTCCTGCTGGACACTTGTCACAGGTAAGCACCTGGCCAGTGGCACGGTCGACATGGTGGTACGTGCCAACCAGATTCGGGGCCTTCTGTTCTGGCTGAGCGGTGATGGTGCTAAGGAGCCCGAGCTGAAAGAAATAAAAGGGGGAGGGGGCACAAAAACCAAGGTGGCATTAGATAGGCACAGCTGAGAATTAAGGAAAGAACAATCCAAAGGCCACCACCATCATGCCTCTGGTTGCTGCTGCAACCCAACACAGACTTGAATCAAAGACTTGAATCCCATCCTAGTTTGTAACCTAGGAAGCCAAGCTAGTTGTTTCCATGGAGTTGATTCTGAGTTATGGTGACCCTGAGTGTGCCGAGTAGAACTACGCTTCAGAGGATTTTGAAGGCAGGGACTCTCAAAAGCAGATCGGCAAGACGTTCTTGCTTCTGCAGCGCCTCTCAATAGGTTCAAACCACCAACGTTTTCTTTGTTTCAAGAGCTTCACTCCTTGCACCACCGAGAGCCTCGAAGCACCTGCCCTACGAGCTGGGATGCAATCCTTCAGTTGCTTGACCTTTTCTTTATTCCATCTGTAACCTGAAGCTGATGACACCTCCCAAACTTATCACGGAAATACAATTGAGCCTGTGCACCTTCAAGTGTTTTATGGCTCATATGCTACATAAAAGTTGAACTCCTAATCCAAGAAGAAAATAACTTGCTGAATATTTGTCTACCTTTTGGCGCCCCAAACGTTAAGCTGCCACTTTCTGACATTAGGATAAAGCACTAGGATGGCATTTGTTCAAGTTTCTCTGTCTATAGCATGGATAGCCCAGGCACAAGACAGAAGGAAGACCCTCCACAAGACAGAAGGACACTCGGGCTGCAACAATGGGCTCAAACATAAGGATGAATGTGAGGATGGCAGAGGATGGGGCAGTGTTTCGTTCTGTGGTACCTAGCTTTGCTGTGAGTCCCAACTGATTCAAAGACACCTAGCTACTACAACCTAGACCGGCACGGCGTCTTCTAGATGCTTGGTCAATTAGAAGTCAAACAATTTTGTTTTCCTTTTCATACAAGAGCAGGCTCTTCGTATTCTTGGTGGTGTGCTTTAAACAACAGAGCCCAGGCTTCCAGATCCACATCTGGTTTGTTCAGCCTCTGAAGGCCATGGCCATCAGGAGCCTGGACCTGCAGACTCCAAGGAGGCCAAGCACAGGGCTGGGTCCGGCGAGTGGTGCTCCACAGCCAAGTTTACCTAACTCCCATCACACGAACGTCCCCCAGCTAGACAACAGTGTACACCTGTTCCCAGACTGAGAACTTGGTGAGGGGCAGAGGGCAGGTAATTTATATTTGTGTGCTAGCTCATGGGTTCCTTTTGGGGAGAGAGGAGAGCTTTAAAAACAAAGTGAATCTGCATTAGTGAGAAGGGAGAAAAGTTGCTTTTTTTTTTTTATTCCCCAACAGTAAAGCTTTCGATGTCCTTTATGAAATGGAGAAAGGTTGTGTGTCAAGAAAATAATGGCTGCTTCCAACTACCAGTTCTGACAGGGCAAGTGCCTTTTAGCTTGGCCACTAATTGTGTGCCGGCTGTTCTAAGAAAGTAAAGCAAGATTTTTTTTTTCCTCTGTCAAAGTGATCACAATGTCTTTCAGTTTGTTGTTTTGTTTTGTTTCCTAGCCTCCTTGAAAGTGAATTCAAGGTGTGTTTTTCCCTAAGCTTAACTACCTGAAACAAACAAACAAACAAAGGATCAGTTTAAAGCCCCTCACCCCCTTGCTGGAGCTGCCTTTGGCTAAATGATAAGATCTAAAACAAATTTTCAGCTTATGGGAACAGTGTCATCTTTTCTTTATAGCGAGGCAAAGGCACCTCACTATCATGTCTATTGACTCACAGCGATCCTATAGGACAGGGCGGAACTGCTCCTGGGGGTTTCCTGGCTTGTACCTCTTTTTACCAGAGTACAGTGTTTCATCTTTCTCCCACAGAGCAGCTGGTGGTTTCGAACCGCTGCCTCTGCAGCTAGCAGCCCAACGCATAACCACTGCACCACCCAGGCTCCATAGGCAAAAACCAAGTTAGTGATTAATTTTCACATTAAGAAGCTTAACATCGTTTCGGGCTGTGAAGTAAACAAACTCCCTGTAAAAGCTCAGCAATGGTTTCCCTTGTGAATGCTGGCTCCACCTTTCCTCTTCTTGCTCCTTCGATTCGCAAACTGGCCCCCACCTCCGAACCTAACAGATGCTCTAGGTAAGGAGATGAACAAAAAGCCTGCCCCGGGGAGGCCAAAGTCCATTTGGCGGATCCAGCCAGGGCAAGATTGTTCCAGTCTTTTCTGTCACCAAAGAGGTTGCAAAAATGCCCCTTTGTGAATGCGGAGTAGAGACCCAAAGCCCATCTGTAGGAAATTGGACATCCCTTTACAAAAGGGTCACAGGGAGGAGATGAGCCAGACAGGTTGCAGTGTAGCAACGATGAAACAGACAACTTTCCTCTAGTTCCTAAATGCTTCCTACAGCCCCCACCCAACCCCGCCCTCCATCATGATCCCAATTCTACTTTACTAATCTGGCTAGACCAGAGGATGTACACTGGTACACATGGGAACTGGAAACACAGGGAATCCAAGGCAGAGGATCCCTTCAGGACCGGTGGTTAGAGTAGCGATACCGGGAGGGTGGGGGGAGAGTGGGGTGGAAAGGGGGAACTGATTACAAGGACCTACATGTGACCTCCTCCCTGGGGTATGGACAACAGAAAAGTGGGTGAAGGGAGACATCGGACAGTGAAAGATATGACAAAATAATAATTTATAAATTATCAAGGGTTCGTGAGGGAGTGGGGAGCGGGGAGGGAGGGGAAAACGAGGAACTGATGCCAGGGGCTTAATTGGAGAACAAATGTTTAGAGAATGATGAGGGCAATGAATGTACAAATGTGCTTTACACAACTGATGTATGTATGGATTGTGATAAGAATTATATGAGCCCCTAATAAAATATAATGCCCCTTTTCCCTCTCAATTTTTGCACGTTCTAGATTAGCTGGTTTCTATGGACAAAAGCCATTTTGGGGAAGCTGCAGTGTTCTGGAAGTTTGAAGAGAGGTATCAACCACACAAAGGGCAGGTTGTTACACTGAAGCAAATGAAATGGAAGCGCAGACTGGATTGGAGACCTGGCCAGGTTCCAGCATCACTGTGTGTTCTAAGTGGGCCTTTGTTACTGCCCGGGAAAACACACACCCAGGAGAATAGGTAACTCAGCAAAGAGAACACGGGGTGGGGGGTGTTGCAAATAACACTGTTAAGGGTCTGGAGGTGAGGGTTGAAGGATGGGGGAACTTGGCCTCCTAGCAGCATCTAGTTCCTTAGGATATGCACTGTGCACTTCTGAATGCGGCTGCAGCAGCCACCGCTGAAGACAGTGGGGACAGCCGGTTCTATCTGGGTTTCTGATCACCACATTATCAAAGGGCCCTGGTTATTGGGATTGGGCGCCATCAAGGTGCTGCCTGACTTATAGTGACTCCAGGTGACGGAGCAGAACGCTCCACAGGGTTTCCTAGACCATGGGTTCCTTAGAAGATCCCACGCAGTACACAAAAATCTACCCCCAAGCCCCACTCCACCCGGCTGATTCCCCATCCTTTAAGTGGGTTTCTCGGTGCTTTGTTCACTTAGAATAACTGATCATGTTTCTAATTAAAGCAAATCTCAGGACTATTTAGACAGCATGATCCCGGCTCTCACATGACCTTTAAATTACCTTAGGAGGCTACTCCCACAATGCCTATCATACTAGCAAGGCCACTTCTGTCTTGCCTTTCGAGGTAGTTCACTGTAGGCTCGACATTATGAAGGAGATTTGTGCAAACCCGGGACTCCACGTATGAGTGCATTCGGCAGATGTGTACTGGGGAGCTACTCTGCGTGAACCCAGGTGCAGAGAACAGAACCTCGGAATCCTTCTAGCTTCTCGCGGAGCGTGCTAAGGAGAAGCTGACGAACCCTGCTGACGACGCCATAAATAACTTAGCAAGAATTGCAATTATTATCGTGGAGGGGAAATAAAGATTCTCAGAGAGAGGGTTAGCAGATAGGGCATCGTTCTGGGGTGCTAAAGAAGTGCTTTGGAGTCCTGGTGGTGTCATGCTTATGAGGTGAGCAACTAACCACAAGTTTTAAACCACCAGCCGCTCCGAGGAAGAAAGACTCGGCTTTCTACTCCCATAGTGACAGTCTCGAAACCCCGCAGGGGCAGCTCGACCCTGCCCCATAGAAGGTCGCTGTGAGTAGGCTTCAACTCAACGGCAGTGAATTACCGTATATACTCGATTATAAGCAGACCCAAATATCAGCCGAGGCACCTAATTTTACCGCCAAAACTGCATTAAAAATATGTGGGAAAACTCACTTTATATTTGAGCTATACGGTAAGTTGAAAGAAATGCTTTGGAGTAGCACTGAAGGACAGAGAAGTAGACAGTAACTCAGGGCGAGTCAGATGGAATTGACAGAGGAACCACAGCAGAAGAACTTTGATGTCACTAAAAGGGTCTACCTCAAGATGTGACACAAAGGCTAGAGTTACAATTGGGGCCACTCCAGATTTTTATCTTCATCCAAAATGTAAAGAGACACCATTATATGAGGCGGCATCAAAAAGTTTGTGGACCATGGAATTAAAAGATAATGGAATTTCTCACAAACTTTTTAAAGCCCTAGTGTACAGTTATATAAACTCAACTCACCAGTCAATTCCAATTCATAGTGACCCTATAAGGCAGAGTAGAACTGTCTCTTTGGGTTTCTGAAGTTGTAAATCGTTACAGGAGCAGAAAGCCTCATCTTTTCCCCATGGACCTGCTGGTGGGTTCAAACTGCTGACCTGACAGGTCGCAGCTCTCCGTGGAACCCACTACACCTACACGTGCGCAGCCCACGGTCGCTGTGAGTTGGACGGACTGGATGGCAGTGAGTTAGGTATGCTTTCCCAGGGGGGGAGAAAAGAAAAGAAGGGCTATCTAATCAGATTTTTGAATTTAAATATTTCTCTGGCTGCAGAGCAGAAGGTAAAAGGGGATAGAGAAGAAGTCCACTTGGAAAGTTAAAGCTGATGGTAA